GAAAGTTTATAAAGAACTTGGATTTCCATTCATTCATTGTTGCACATTTTCCTCCCTGTCTCCTCTCCCCACCAGTTCACTTTCACTTTTTTCTTTGGAAAAAAGTTCTTTCACTGTTATATAGTTCCACCCCCTCCCCCCATCCCCCAACCACTTTACTATGTAACTCTTATTCTGGACTCTTGTCATGCTAATAATACCTAATCATTTATTGCTTTAATAGAGTTCTTTCCTGGATGTAACAATCTTTAACAGGCACAAAGATCTCAAAGCCAGCCCTCCCCCTGCACTGACGATGCCGTGGACACCCATGCCTCATACCCCCAGCTGTCCTTTCCTGCTTTCACCCGATAACTCACACTTGGGACCTGGGTGGCAGGCGAACAAGCCTGGCTTGGCCCCTCCTCTCAGGGAGATGGTAGCAGCAACCATGGGCTCAAACACATCAAAGATCACAGAGCTGCGGCAGTCCCATCATCTGGGGCTGCCTCATCATCTCCTTCAGAGGAGCTGGTGGTTTCAAACAACCAACCTTCAGTTAGCAGTCAAACTCTTTATTCCCTTTTTTAATTTTGTGTGTGTGTGTGTACACCGTCGAATTGGATCCAACTGGTGCAGAAGGCGATTGCCCCTCCTTCTCCAGTGGAGCATCTAGTGGATTCGAACCACATGCCTTCGGGACTGCAGCCCAGCTTCTTGCCACTAGGCCACCAGAGCTCCCTCTTTTTTTCCTTTTCTTGTTGTGTACTGTCAAACTGGATCTGACTGGCATAAGAGGAGACAGCCCCTCCTTATCCAGCGGAGCATGTGCTGGATTCAAACTGCGCTCTTGCAGGACTGCAGCACAACTTCTTGCCACCAGGGCTCCCTAGCCAAGCTCTTTAATCACCATACTCCGAGGGCTCCAGATGCGCCTTTAAGGCAGTACTTCAATCAGCTACCTCTTATGAGTTAACTTTCAGTTATTAAGCAGAGAGAGTTCACCTGTATTTCCCTGAGTCCAACGAGGTGTTTAAACTGCTGTAGAAATAATAACTTGCCAGATTCATGTGAGTTCACGCGTCCACCACTGACCATGGGACTACAGCTCTGTTTCAGAGAACCAGAGACACATCTGAAGCAGAATGAGCTGATGTATCGAGCACACAGACCTGGGATCCTAGACAGACCCACAGGGACCTAAAGGTGAGACGCGTAGGTCATTTGGTCCCAGACCATCTCTGGACACAGCACTTAAGGGGCTTCCACAGGGTGCTGCTGTCCCCGCCCCCCACATCTCCAGAACTCCAGCTCAAGACTCCTGGGGTTTCCCATGAAGTTCCCTCTCTTCGCTGGGGTTTCTCCAAGGGCTAATGTACTCTTTTACACCGCTGCTCTGAAGAAATGATCTTACTATCCCGTGTGTGTGTGTGCACGCGCATTATCTGAGCCTGCTACATTAAGAAGCCCCCTAAATCAGCAGCTCCTTTACACCCCAGCTGTGTTCATCATGAGAAAGTACGGATAACCCGGAATAACAGGAACTCCACACACTTCATTATATTCACGCAGAACTTGTACAAGAAGCAGTTGTTGGGGAATCCGGAATGGTATAACATCAGTAAAGTGTGCGTCACGATTCTATCTTTTCACTACATTTATACATTCTGTTTGAGTCTTCTGAATTAATATTCAATTTTGAATGAAGGTGCTCATGAAAAACACTGAACTAACAGTGGACTACCGGAAGTGCGAACAAATCTGTCTTGGAAGCACAGCTGGAATGCTCCTTAGATGATAGGATGCAAGACTTCATTCTCACGTACTTTGGACATGACATCAGGAAGGATCGATCCCTGGAGAAAGACATCAAGCTCGGTAAAGCAGAGGCTCAGGGAAAAAGAGGAAGGCCCTCAATGAGACGGACTGCCACAGAGCCTGCCACGTTCAATGCTGTGGCTGGGCTCGGTGTGACATGCCTTCAGGTCTTCAGCAAGCTTCTTGCCTCTAGGCCACCAGAGCTCCCTCACTTGGTAGATGCCATGAAGTTGACTGTAAGTCATGCAGGCTCATGTGGGGAAGAAAGAACTGTCTGGTCCTGCTGGTACCAAGAGTGTTGACTGCGGATCTAAGTAAGATGACATCATTGACATCTTCAATCTCTTCTCCGTCTATCATGATATTGTCTACTGGCCCGGTAGTAAGGACTTTTGTTTTCCTGATGTTGAGATGCATGTATGTTGAAGGCTGAAATCTATGATCTTCTGCAGCAAGGGCTTCAAGCCCTCTTCACTTTCAGCGAGCGAGGTGGTATCATTTGCTTAATGCTGGCTGTTGATGTGTCTTCCTCTGATCCTGATGCCACATTCTTCATAAAGTCCACCTTCACGAAACCGCCCAGCAAATCATTTGCTGCTTTCGGCAAACTTTTCCACTCTTTCTTTCGCTCTCTTTTCATTGACTTTACAATCTGGTGCATTTATGCAGGACATCAACCCTTAGTCACGTGTTTTTTCCAAGTTGTTGCTTTACTTTTTCACTTTGCTTGTATTTCTTTTTAAAACTTTATTTGTAACCATATTCACGATGCCCTTTCTGATGGAAGTCGGCTCACAAACTTGCCTTCTTTGACTGGCACAGTAACAAGACACAGTTAGGTGCCATAAATGATACTGTATCACTGCCAGGGAGTTGCAACCAACTGATAGCTGATTCTCCAGCAGATTTTCAGAGGCTGTAAATCCCATAGGAGGACACAGCCCGTCTTTCTTCTCTGGAGCAGCTGCTGAATTCAAACCATGTGCCTTTGGGGGAGCAGTGTAACTCCCTACCCCCTAGGCCACTAGAACTTCCCATTAATATCATCTAGAGTATATGAAATAGTTGTTATGTGCAGTCAAGTGAGAGTAAGAACTGACTCACAGCTGACCCTCCAGTGAGGATTTTAGAGGCTGTAAATCGTATGTGAGGAGGCCATAAGAGCTCCCGACATTATATATATATTACACACATATATATGTTACCAGATAAATACATATATTACTATGTATTACATGTCTGTTCTATGTAATACTAACAGTGGAACTCTGGTGGCCCAGTGGGTAGGGAGTTGTGCTGACCACGTAAAGGAAACCCACCAGCTGCTCCGGGGGAGAAAGATTAGCAATCTTCTCCCAAGTGATTTACAGCCTCTGACAACCCGCTGGAGGGTGAGCTGTGAGTCAGTTCCAACTCAACAGCACACGCGCGCGCACACACACACAACTGTTGTATGCTGTCGAGCTAGAATTAATTCAGAGAGAACCCTCCAGTGGGTTTTCAGAGGTAATAAAATGCACAGGAGGAGATCGCCCATACCCGTGTGGAGCAGCTGGTGTATCATGTGAATCACGTGCCTCGCACCAGGCCACCACAGCTCCCTTCGATTTTATACATACATACAGCCAGGATATTAAAAGACAAATTGCATTGGGAAAGTCTGCTGTCAGAGACCTCTCCAAAGTATTGAAGAGCAAAAATATCAGTCTGGAGCCCAAGGTGCGCTTGATACAGGCCATGGTCTTTGCAATCACTTGCTTGGCATCAGAGAGCTGGGCAATAACTAGGAATGATAGGAGGAAAGTTGATGCCTTTGAGCTGTGGTGCTGGAGAAGAGTTCTGAATATACCATGGACTGTTAGAACAAACAGGTTTGTCCTAGAGAGGGTGAAGCCAGGCTGCTCCTTGGAGGCAAGGATTCTGAAGCTCTGTCTGACATACTTTGGACATGTTGCAAGGCAGGATCAGTCTTTAGAGGGACATCATGCTTGGGAGGGTGGAGGGACAGCACAGGAGAGGAAGACCCTCTATGAGAGATGAATTGATTCTGTCACTGGGGTAATGAGGATAGGCGTGTCAAAGACATTAAGATTGGCAAAGGATAGAGCAGGGTTTAGGGCTGTTGTACATAGGGTCGCTATGAGTTGCAGGTGACTCAACGGCACATAACAACAACAACAACGTGTGTGTGTGTGTGTGTGTTTTGTTGTTGTTGTAATCCACCAGTTGCTCTGCAAGAGAAAGATAGGCATTCTCCTCCTATATCATTTTGTTGTTGTATACCACTGAGTTGGAACTGACCCATAGCTGACCCTCCAGTGGGTTTTCAGGGGCAGTAAATCATACAGGAGGAGACTGCCCACCCTTCTCCCACAGAGCAGCTGGAGGAGTCAAACCGTGTACCTTGGTGTTGGCAGCACAATTCCTCACCACTGAGCCACCAGCGCTCCTGCTTCTGGGAACTTGCTGGAGGTTCAGCTAAGAATTGGTTCTGACTCAATGGTACGTAACAAAAGCAACATATCTGTATCATTTATATACTTTAAATGTTATCAGATTGTCCCCTTAGGATAAATCATAAACAGGTTTGCCAACAACAGATACCCTGGGTTTGTGTGTGAACAGTTAATTCTAATAATGGCCTCATTGTACCTATTTAAATGTAGGCTCAATTGTGATTTATTTTGGTGGAACCAGGCAGCTTGGTCAAGAGAAGGCACAGATCTTTCTGCGTTCCTGTCAGCAGCAGAGAGGAGAGAAGGCATGCACCTTTCTTTCTTTCTTTTTACAAAAAAACCCCTTCAAACAAAACCCTCCCATTTTGTTCCTTTACAGAAGCAATGCAAACACAGAAATCAACTACAATATCCCCACCACTCCAATTACCTTTCTCATTGTGAAGTATTTCTTCCAAGAATGTTCCTCTGAATATATGGGATTTTGTTTCAGAAAGCTGCTTTGTGTCAAGGTGTTTTTTTCTCACATGTGACAGCATTTTGCAAGCACTAACACTTAATGCTTTAGCCGAGCCGTTCCTCAACCTGGCTGGGCAGCTGGCTTCCCCGTGGACCTTGTTAAAAATAATGAAGCAGCAAGCCTCGGGGGGGCGGGCTCTGGCAGCCTGTATTTTTAACAAGTTCCACAGAGGCGTCTGGCGCACACAGGTAGGTCCCGTCGCAGCCCCTCCGGCCCCCCGGATGTACCTGTGATGGTCTGGGACTCCGAGGTGATGGTCCTGGTGGTCGTCTGAGTCTGGGTGGCTGGCACCGTTTCCTCCGACACAAACTGGACCGTGCTGGGGGCCGCCCCCGGCGCGCTGGTCAGCTGGCAGCCACTTTGCTTGTGAGCTACGAAGGCGTCCAAGTTGTTGAACTGCTGCTTGCAGATGCCACAGATGTGGATGTCAGGAGTCAGCTCCACCAGCACGGTGGTGCCACCTGGAACTCCACAGGACAAAGGGAAAATGACACATCAACTCCCAGTACTCTCACGTGCCAGTGCAAGCCACACCCCGCGGGAGGACAAGACAGCACAGCGGGAGAGTCCCTGGACGGCACCGTTAAGGGTGTGGCTGCTCACGGAAAGGCTGGCAGTTCGAACCCACCCAGAGGTGCCTCGAAAGAAAGGGCTGGTGATCTCCAGTCTCACAAACTTCATGGACTGCAACTCTACCGGGCTGCCATACGTCAGAACTGACGTGACAGGGTTCCGGCCCCAAGCCCATTCTATCCCTCTTGTCTTCCTTTAAAACCCCAACAAACTCACTGCCATGAAATCGATGCCCACTTGCAGCACTCCCAGAGGACGGAAGAGAACTGCCCTGAGGGTTTGGCAAGGCTGTGACCCTTTACAGAAGCAGACGGTCATCTTTTCCCGGGGGGCAGCTGGTATGTTTGAACAGCCACACTTTTGCTAACAATCTATGTGCTTAAGCTCTCTGCCACCCGGGTTCCTCTCTTCCTTGCAAACACACTCTCAGATTGATCCTAGCAGCAATGAACTTGCACCCCAGTGATGGCTTGTGATGCCCTCTTGGCCAGGGGGCATGGCTGACACTGTGGGTAAGAACTTGTTTGTTTTTTTTTTGTCCTGAAAGGCTGTGCTGCACTCCTCAGCACCAGCTGCCACCTCTGACATCAAATAAAGGCTACCCGTGTCTCCTGGTTATTATGAAAATCCATCTTTCCACATTCCCAAATATCCTCCCTGTGATGGAGAATCTAAATCATCCTGATCCAGCCCCGAGTGGGAGGAGTGTCTAGGAGAAAAGTTGGCTTTCCTGATATACAGGAAGCAGACAAAGCTGATACTGGTCCTGTTTGCTTTAATTTTCAAGGCAGATGTGATGGCAGGAGCTTTTACAGTTATCTTGTAATTAAGAGGAAGATGTTAAGATGCCTTTAAGATAAGGGCTCTAACCTCACTGATTGCATGAATCAACTCTGGAGTTGATTTTAGACTTATCAGGTCGCTTGATTTGGGCTATCTGCTACTTGCAGCCAAAAGTAATTCCTTATAAACAGGGACATTACTTCACAACAGCAGTTACACAGGAAGAATTAACAGGGTCCTAATGTTTGCAGAATAATTAGCAAATAACCCCCGGCCATTGACTCAGTTCTGATTCATCTCAATCCCTCAGTGCGTTTCCAAGGGTATAACTCTTATGGAAATAGACTGTCCTCATTCCTCCCATGAAATAAATGGTGGGTTTAACCACCTTAGCAGGCTGACACATTATTAGAAAGTGCTATACGAAAATTTATTAAATTGGGAGCTCTAGTGGCCTCGTGGCAAGAAGCTGCACTGCAATCCCGGAGGCAGGTGGTTCAAATTCACCAGCTACTCTGCGGGAGGAGAGAAAATCTCCTGTACCAGTCTGATCTGACGGCACACACACAAGAAATAATAAAATAAAAAAGAAAGTTTGTTAAATAAATACAATGAATAAATTTCTAAATAATATGACTGCTTTAATTTTTAGATTTTTAAAAAGTTTCTTATTATAAGGTAATAATAATTCTCCATGTGAAAAATGGGCTATCTTCTCCCATGCAATTTAGTGCCTCTGAAAATATGCTAGTGGGTCTGCTATCTGCATAACAATTATAAGGTGACTCATGCTTTTAACTGAAAATGCTAAGAACATATAAGGAACCAGGTATAAAATTACTAGCCACTATCCCATCCCATCTATGCCACCTAGAAACATTAGGAAATGTTTTATTATCCTTAAAAATTGCATCAAGTCATAATGTATTGTACTCATAGCTGAGCTGCGGGAGGGTTTTCAGAGGCGGTAAATCACATGGGCAGAGAAAGCCTTTCTCTCTCCCTTGGAATCCCAAGGATTTGAACTGCCAGAGTAGTGTCACCTTGAGGCCCTCTACAGAACATGCCACCAGAGCCCCGGAACCTTAAGAGCGCTCTACCAACATAATTAAGGAGCTTGGGAGTGTAATGGTTGAGTGCTGGGCTTCTAAACCAACCTGTACTTTCCACAGGAGAAAAGCCCTGGGGACTTGCTCCATTCAAAACCTCTAGGGGGCAGGTCAACCCCGCAACAAAAGGGGTCACTGTAGATGAAGGTTGACAGCACACAGCAGCATAAACAGAATTACAAAATATTAACACATTATTCCATGGTATGTAACCCACGGCCATCAAGTCTATCCCAACTCATGGCCACTTCTCCACTGGGTTTCAGAAGCTGTAAATCTTAATGGGAGAAGACGACCCATTTTTCCCTCTTGGAGCCGCTGGTGGATTTGAACAGACGATCATTAGGGTAGAAGCGAGACACATTATGCACCATGCCACCAGAGCATCTTTCCATGGTCTTTATGTCATGATCTTCTGAACAAGAATATAACATTGAAGTTATTCCCAATTTTTCCTATATCTGAATAATGTGAGGACCATCTTTGTACAGAATGGCTGGTATCCGAGTATCACCAGTTTCTTAAATCACCAGAAGGCGTTGAAGCGACAACTTTTAAAAAATTATTTGTGTGTGTGTGTACTGTCAAAATGGATCTGACTGGTACAGGAGGAGATTGCCCCTCCTCCTCCAGCAGAGCACCTGGTAGATTTGAACCGCACACCTCTGGGATTGCAGTGCAGCTTCTTGCCACTAGGCTGCCGGAGCTCTGTACCATAAGCAATGACTTTTAAGGGACTATTAAGTGAGGTGCTCCTTACAAGAGTCCAGCTCAGAGGCACCCTGCCCTTGAGCTCTACTACGATACCTGCTTACCTGGTTATTACTGAAATACCCTTTATCACTTTGCAAGTATCTCCTTTCCATACACGATTCAAAGAGGCAGCTCAGGAGAGAAAGGAGGCTAGACGGGGGAGTGGGGGTGGG